TTGTGTAAATAAGTTTTAAAATAAAGATATGTTTGTTTTATAAAAGTGTTTTGTATTTTTGGCTGCCGCGCTGTCGGTAACAAGTTAAACAAGGAGGACAAAGCTATTGTTAATTATCACAATAAATTAAGATTCTTACTATTTTCGTAACAAAGTCTTTATGGAATGTTTTATGTCACAAATAATTTGGACTTTATATTTCGGAGATAAAGACATCTAGCCTGTGAAGCAAACATTTTTACAATTATTTAGTAATCTATGCAATGAAATACCACGTTAATTAAGAATCGGCTAAATAGTTGGCTTATTGCCCGCATCTTTCCTGTACAATACGGAAAGGACAGGATAACAGATTACCAGGAAACTAAGCAATATGCGTATGCTCCGACCGTACTTACAACTAGCCTTCTAGAATATTAATTTAGGTAATCGTAAACACAAACCTACAAGGCTGGTGCTGTCATAGCCTCGGGAGCATACGTGGGTTGGCAGCTAAGGAGCAACGCGGAAATGATTTACATGCGTGTCGGATTAGACGACAATTGTTCTAATGTGAAACTGAGGTGTTAATTAAACATTACATAAACATACAAGTAGACCGCATGCTACGAACATTAACGGCATATAATTTACTAAAGCTATAAGTAAATAGAAAATATCCTGCTAAATACTCTTGCTACTATAAATTTTACACTCTAAAATTGAAAGAGTAAACCACTCAACTTTTCATTAATATCAAAGAAATAAGAATAGTATAAACCGAAAAATTGCGTAGGCTGTCGATGAGCACATATTGATTGTTTTTACGATGATTCAGAAAATGAGCTGTTCTGGGACATACGTTTTGTCACTTTGTACCAGGAATACCAGCTATTTTTAGTTAATTTATTAGATTTCTTGATTGATTACGGCTACCTTTATGAGCGTCGTCAGATCTAGGCTTTATATAGGAGAGGCCGTGAAAAAGAATATGATCTTATTCGCAGTAATCTTATATCTATTTTACATTTTTATAAGATGTATATCAACCCTATAGAATGGCACCCGAAACCCTCTGACGGCAATCGACCAAGGGTTCCTTACCTTTCAATGGTTCCGAAATTGAAGGTTATGTACAATCAACAACTACTTATTTTCATAGCCGAACTAATCTTAACTTTAGTACGGTAGTTTATAAATTTCATGGTACGACTTTAAAAACTTTCTTTGTCTGGCCCTTTTTAAATAACAAAAAGTATAGTAGACGAATCGTGTCTTTAAATTAGAGTTAATGATTGCGATCGACATTTCCTTTGCTTCACGAAACGTCTCCATTTAGGGCTTTCGGTCAGTAAGGCACTCGCGTGTGTATTGTGTCGTTAACAATATGTCATTGTTAAAACTGACTAATTTGTTACGTTTGTACGGTGACACATACGTGTGTCGTTCTTAATTTTTTTTTTTTACGAAAAAACAAAATGGCTATTGCATTATATGTTCTCCGGTTTTAGGCAACATCAAAATAGGAATAACGCCGGTTTTTTACATTAATGAAAAACTTCATTAGCAAATACTCTATGGTTACAGGATAAAAAATAAGCTACATAAAATTACTTAACTACAGTTTTAAGAAACAGGAAATTTTAACAGAATAATTAAGTATGTAAAAAATGCAAAATAATGAAAAAAACTAAAGCATAAGATAATCTTCCACAACCTCAACGTTAACTACAAAAAAATTAACTGTTTAAGTTATTCGTTTTAAGTTCAAATC